AGTACAACCAGAAAGTAACTGCTCCTGGAAATGACTAAGTCTGAGAGTTGCTGGAAATTGCAGTCACAAGTCTTGGAGGGTGAGTTGGAGAAGAGCAATCCTATTTCCCAATTCATTTGTTGGGAGTAGGAAATGGAGAATGAGCCAAGAGGCTTCAGACCCCTTCCCTAGACCCCCTTGGGGTGCAACCACCTTCCCCATGGCAAGGAGGGGTGCACTCCCTTGGGCCTTGCCCATGTGGCAATTAACAAGATTCTCAACCAATAATATTATACATAGCATGGATAGGAAATGCACAGCAATCACAAACCTGTGTTTGATGTTTATTGGTTGTGTTTGGAGTGAGCGGCGGAAATATTGTCGACTCACTCTTGGGGCTGTGATCTGATTGGTTGAATTAGTGATGAGGTGAACTTACGTGGGTTATGTTTGAACAAGCTCAAACCAATTGCGTAAGTTTGACTCAGGAGCAACTCGATTGGTTGGTTTTCCAATCAATCCTGAATTGTCCGTAAGTCTCGCTTTCCCAACCAACCAGATTTCCCCACCATTCTCCCTCAGCTGGTTCGATGTATCGAGACCAGCTGGGTTTTCGTACGGATGTTACACTCCTCCCCCTCCAGCTGGCAACGTCCTCGTTGCCGTGGGGTGCTTCTTAGGACGAGTGCTACGAGCACGACGAACCACATTACGACCAGGGTCAACACCATCCGCTGGTTGTGGGAGTGCTCGCTGAGCCAGGTCTTCCATGTAAGACTGGACCGCAGTATCAGTCAAATGTTCTTCCGGCTCCCATGAGTTGTGTTCAGGCCCATAGCCTTTCCACTTAATGAGGAACTCTCGTACAGTCTTGCGGCCGCGTTGTCGATCACGATGCAAAAGCACTCGTTCGACTTCATAGTACAGTTCCTCCCCTAGGACGATTGTTGGTGGTGGTAAGTACTTGCCTTCTGCAACGTACTTGCTTAACAGAGACACATGGAAGACATTGTGAATCTGCAGGGTATCAGGTAGCTTGAGCTTGTAAGCTACCGCACCAACTCGTTGAATCACCTCGAAGGGCCCAATCCAGCGAGGGAACAACTTTCTCGCACCAGGGATCTTAAGCCGAATATTCTTCGTGCTTAACAAAACTTTGTCTCCAACGGAGAATGATACTTCCCGGCGTTTCATATCGGCATAGGATTTTTGCCTTTGTTGGGCAAACTGCAGCCAACGACGTGCCGACTTTAGGGCCTCTCGTTGCTTGCCCACAAAATCCTTTGCGGCAGGTAATTTCAAACCGCCGATCCCATGCGTAGCAGGTGTTGTGGGATGCCGACCACAGTTCAGGATAAATGGTTTTTCATGTGTGCTATCATGCACTGAGTTGTTAACCGCAAACTCGACCATGGGTAACAACTCGTCCCAATTGTCCTGTGTTGGGCTTATGAAAGAACGAAGCATCTGCTCGAGAGTGCGGTTAGTCCGTTCCGTTTGCCCATCTGTCTGGGGATGGAACGCTGACGACATCTTAAGCTTCATTCCCAGTGTCTCGGTTACTTCACGCCAGAATCGGCTCGTGAAGCGCGGGTCGCGATCAGACACTAATACACGTGGCAATCCGTGTAGGCGGAACACATGTGTCACGAACAACCGAGCAGTATCCTCTGCTGACACGTCTGTTGTCGTGGGTACGAAGTGCACCATTTTTGTAAGGCGATCTACAAAGATGAGTATCGTCGTATACCCATCACGGATTCTTGGGAGGTCGGTGATCAAATCCAGTGAAACGCTTTCCCAAGGTTCACTCGGAATTTCAAGTGGTTGAAGCAAACCACCAGGCTTCTGTGTGTCCGGTTTGTTACGTGCGCACGTGTCACAACGTGCCACAAACTGTTGGACATCACTACCGACTCCAGGCCACCAATATACATCACGTAAGTGCGGAGATAACTCTAGTAACGGGAGCTAGACTACGGGCTAGGCACGGATGCTCGTGTGATCTCTGCGTTCGTTGGTCCTTAGTCGTTTTCCTAGTGCGCACACTACTTGCTAGTTCACAAGGAAATTTGGCAAGAGTTTCACTAGAGAAAGTTGACAACAATGATACAATGAAGTTGGCTAGGAAAGACTACATCAGAGCTAGGATGCAAGCAGGTCGACTGCCAGCGCGGCACGGTCGACCGCGTGCCAGCACGACTTGGTCGACCGCGCTCCAGCAGTGCAGGGACGCGGCTTGCCAACGCTGCAGTTCGACGGCGTGACAACAGCGCAAGTCGACGGCGTGCCAGCGTTGCTCCTGCAGTCCAGCAGCGCACCAGCTTCGCAGGTGCTCGTAGATGATTGGCGCGCACTGCTTCGTCACCTGCACAGCGTACGCACCAAGTCCACCTTGTGCTGACGACTGCATCTCATCTGCCAGGTCGACCTCGGGATACCACCACCGAGGTCGTCCTTGCCAACCTCGCCTGGGCGACCTTCGCGTGCCTTCGCAGACCCTCGTCACCCAGGTAACTTGGTCGACCGGGCAACCACGTCGACCAGGTGCTCCTGTGCGTGCCTGTCGACCTCCCAAGTCGACGGCCACCTCCAGTCGACCTCACCAGGTCGACCACGCCCTCTGGTCGACCAACTCCAGGTCGACGACACTCCTTGTCGACCACCTCAGTCGGCTACCCCAGGTCGGCGTCCCCCCAAGTCGACGCCCTCTGCAGGTCGACTTCTCAAGTCGACCACTTGAAGTTGGCGCCCTCCTGAAGTCGGCGCCCTTGCAGTGGCTCCCGTGCAGGTCGACCAACCCCGTCGACCGGCTCGCCCACTACTGCAGGTCGGCTGCACCCCTACACCCGACCAGGAAGTCGGCTCCGCCCAAGCGAGGACGCGGCCAACACCCAACTCCCGTTGACACTCCCATGCCGAGTTCACGCTTGGGCCCCCCAGCCCACACGGCAGCACCTCTCTCTGAGAACAGCTCGTCGACGTGCACCCAACACACAGCACGAGCCATGCAAAAGGGCATGGCACCTACTGCTGCACTTCGTCGTCGCCGTCGCCCACGTCGGCCAGACGCACTTGGCCGATTGCAACGGAGCACCGGTTGAAGGCCGGATAGTGCAGCGCCTTCGTGAGGAAGTCGGCCGGCTGCTCAGCGGTCGGGATGTACTGCAGCGCAAACTTCCCCCGCTTTACCATGTGCTGCAGCCAGGCCTGTCGCCGCTCCATGTGCTTGAGGTTGCCCGTCAACCCCATGCCCTCGGCGACTGTGATGGCCGACTTGTTGTCCACCCGAAGGACGGTCGGCTTCCCAGCATCCAGCTGCTGGAACTCTGCGAGGAGGAAGCGAAGTCGGCGTCCCTCCTTGCCGGCTTCGACGGCCGCCACGTACTCCGATTCGGTCGACGACAGCGTCGCGCACTTGATGCGCTGGCTCGACCAGGAGACCGCGGCCCCTCCGTAGACGAACACGTAGCCGCCCGTGCTCGTCCTGCTCTGCTTGTCACCGGCGTCGTCGGCGTCCACGTAGCCGACCAGCTCCAGCGACTCAGGTCCACCGCCAAACTCCAGGGCGGTGTCGCGCGTGTTGGCGAGGTAGGCGAGGCAGCGGTCGACCTCGCGCCAGTGCTGGTCGCTTCTCACCGTGAGGCCGCTCCCCAGCTTGCTGCAGGCGAAGGCGATGTCCGGCCTCGTCGTCGTCGCCGCGAACTGCAGCGAGCCGACCTTCTGCCGGTACTCCTCCTCCTGTCGCTCCTGCGCCTCCTCGTCGTCGAAGGTGAGCTCGGCGTAGGCGTCGACCGAGACCGGCGTCTTCGGAGTCCGTCCGCCCTGCTCCTCGTCGATGAAGCGCCTACGCAGCTTGTCGGCGTAGCCCTGCTGGTGCAGCCACAGCTTCCCCGCCGACCTGTCGCGCGCGATCTCCAGCCCGAGGTACTTCTGCACCGGCGAGATCTCGCGCAGCTCGAAGGCGGCCTCCAGTAGCTCCTTCAGCTGCTTCAGCATCTCGGGGCTGCTGCTGGCGGCGA